TAACACCAGAACTTCAGCACTTACCGGACTGCTGCACTCTTCTGTGAAGCTATAGTTTGTTTACGTAAACTTCCTGGGACATGAAACAATGTTTCCTTTTTGACAGTGTTCACAGCTAGGCTGTGAATGTTCAGCTTTTGTTTTTGTTCGTCTGACGTGACTTCTTTCGGGGGGGGGGGGGAGGCAGAATCCTGTGACATAAGAACTCAGGGATGGTTAGACGAATTAGATAAAGCAAAAGGTGCTTAACAATAAACACGGCGTATGAGCCAGGCCACATCTATTCATCATAGCATCACACACACACACACACACACACACACACACACATACACACACACACACGTGTGTGTGTGTGTGTGTGTGTGTGTGTGTGTGTGTGTGTGTGTGTGTGTGTGTGTGTGTGTGTGTGTGTGCGGGGGCGGAGGGCGTCTGTGTCTCCCTCCTCTCTGGCTTTTATTTCTTGCCCTAAAAATCACTTACCCGTGCTCCCGCATGGCTGCAGAAGGTAGTGCATTGTTTTACTTTACGACCAAGCACGTCTTGTTTTCGAGAAGCTTGGGAAAACTACTTTCGCTCGAACGTTTTTTGACCGAGCAAGGGTTTTCGTAATAAATTCAAGCTTCTGTTTTTTCTCAATTGCTTCTACACATGAATATGTGCTGTCCGTAGATCGTGACAGTTCCCCATTTGTTTATTTACATTTAATAGGGATGGCATAAAGGGCTAAGTTTGAATTATACAGTGCAAAAAAGTTTTATCTTTTGCAGTTCCCCGTATATTCGAGTGTCCTGTGAAATGTGCCAATGCCTCGACCATTTCTTTGATTTTGTGATCCCTACGACATTATAATTTTATAAAAAGCAGTACAACAGGCACGTTGCGCTATGCGCAGGATTTTATTTGCAAGCATGAATGCCGCTCGATTCTTGCACTTGCACCACCCACTCCAGTGGTCTGGTGCTTATAGTGCTCAACTGTCGACCTGCAAATCGCACGATCGAATGCCAGCAGTTCATGGGGGCCCCATTTTCCGTCGAGGCGAAATTGTTCGACACCTGTGTAGTTACACTTAGGTGCATCTGAAAGAACCCCTGGAGGTCTAAATTTCCGAAGCCTTTCAGTACGGCGCCTCTCATAATCATATCACAGCTTTGGGAAGTTAAACTGAACAATGGCTATAGTATTTAGAGGTGTACACCTTTCAGCTCTTTCACGAACACCCTCACGAACGGCATAATAATACCGTTTTGTCACTTACACCTTTCTCATAGGGTGTACAAGCAAAGAAACGAGTGTTAAATCAAGTAAAAGGCTGTAAATAGGTGAAACAAACTTTTGACACCCGTAAGGGTGTAAATCGTTTATTGTGTATAGCGTTCGTTGTGTCATGTTATTTCTGTGTTGTAATACAATTTGGCCCCTTTTGTGCGACGTCCAATCGTAAATAAAAAGAAGACACTTGGCTGTGGGGCAGATGACTTGCTTGCTATGCAAGACCTTGGTTCAATCTTCTATTGTTCCCATAAATATTTCTTATTTATTTTATTTGGATTCTCAATTTTTCAGGGACAGACAAGATCATCACTTTTCGCGCAGAACTACGTCGACGCCAACCGCAGAATATTTGCAAATCGAGCTCTTTAAAGCTGTCACGTTAGCATAGGTGTAATATTCAAGCCTTGTTCGACACGATTTATTTCTGGAACACTAATTTTTCAAACTTTTCGGAAGCAAAAATAAGAGACTATACCCTACAATTACGTCTCTGTGTTGCTATGCAAAGTCCAAACATGAAATGCAATAGAGCGTATGCTTCTTGCTGTTGGTTTTTGCCTAGCGGCCACTCTCAGAAGTGCGTAGGTCAATATATTATAAGAAGCACGGAATAGAATATAAAATTCTATAAGCGTACAGCACATTGTTGTTTCGCCCACCACCTAAAGCATATAATTCTGTTGTCTCTTAGAACTTTTGTCTCTACGTCTACTTGATGTCCTATGGGAAGGATTTGAGAGAAACGAACTTTTGGCTGTTATGATCTTCAGCACTCATTTAGCCATTATAGAGTGTGATTAGAACAATCTCTCATTGAGATATGACATCAGAAAAGTAGCACACTTTTTCTTACGTTCTAACCTTTTTGACCTCACGCAACAATAACACGAACGACTAGCTCGATTGCTGACAAAACATCGCGATCAATTCACACGAGAAGTAATTGAGGCTTATAATATCAGAAAAAGGGAGTAAGCTGCACTAGCGTACCTTTTCTTGATCTGCATAATAGCGAGTTCTTTTTCTTTGATAGAGAAGTATGATGGAATTCGTTGTCTGGGAAAGAACACCTCTTCTGCTTTCCTGTTTTTTTTTTCCTTTGGAGATGCAATGGTGGTTGCGGTTTCTTTTGCGCTATTCGTTTGCTTTAATGAGGTCACATGAGTGTGCGGGGTGTAGTAGTCTTCTTTTTCTTTCTCTTTGATATACTTTTATTAAGTGTCGATTTCCGAGACAACGCTGTAGTCTTTCTTTTCTCTTCATCCGCGTTGTCGTTGCACGGCGTCAAATGTGTTCAAGTACGGTCACCAACTAACCATGAAAAAGCATAACAAACAAAGATGAGCTCGAAAACTCCACAAGACACTACTTCATTTCATACACAACACCGGCTTAACGGCGCACAGTTAACAACATACCTGCAAACATGTTATGCCTTAAAGGCAAGTCTTTGTCGAAAATAAAAATATCGTAAAACATAATTTAGGTGAAAGCAAATTTTAAGCCTATAAGGTCATTCTGGCGGGAACATTTTATGCAAGCCTAAATAGAAAGCGCACATGATTTGACAACGCGTTCCCCGGGTCATCATTTAAACATTTTGAAAACTTTGACATGTGGCTTGCGGCTATAGAACATTTCATCTATTCAATTTTTTGCATAAAATAATTGGTGGGAATAATTCGTGCTTTATATGTACAGTGCACAGGTTTTTCAATTGAATCGCTGATGTTTGAGGACAAACATTGGTAAAGTTTGCATGCAATGATCCATGTGTCTTAGATTTAAAATACTGATCTCAGAGGAATGAGGGGCGAATTCTGCAATGACAACTAGTCGACAATGTATTCCACTTTATCTGCCGTGCAGAAGCTTCATCGCAAAGGAAGCTATTGTCTAGGCACGGGCAAAGAATATATGCGCACTGATTTAAGCGACGCCAGTAGAATAAGGTTGGTGATACTTTTGTGAATTTTATTTCTGACATTCATCTATCACCTTTGTATCCTACTATTCTTAAAATGTACTCTTGGATTGTCAGGGCTGACGCTGTTATTAGAAAAAAAAGCGGCACCGAAGGTAATTGCACTACGGTTAAATGCAAGCCTAAACAATGACAGCTTTAGCACGAAATAAGTGCTTTGAAAATGTCCATTTAGGAAACTGAAAAGATCGCACATAATGTAAATGTACTTAATACGCTATAGTTACAACGGTGATAGGTCGAAATGACGCTTGTTGGTGTTAGGTTTAATGCTTAGTTTTTTTTCTTCCAATAAATTCAACCTGTAAGGTCGTACCCACTTTATTGGCTTTGAAAATATCGTCACACGTTTGAAACTCTCACTCCAGCACAGGCACTGAAATCGCATTCAGCGCAAGAAGACGACAATTCGATTGTAGTGGGTTGAGAGTTTGCGGTCCGGGTCATATATATGCAGAGCCTCCAGAAACTGCGATCGTCAGTTTCCCCACAGATTTCCAGAATAAACCGGCAATGTAGAGTGGTGGCGGTGAAAGGAGCGTGATTGGCAACCTTTAGGTGAGAGAGAGTGGCTAGACTAATTTCTCTGCGCAACGACGTCAGTGTAAGACGCTTCGGAGCGCAGAAATAAACGGCAAGATTGGTATTTATATAAGAAGGTGGTGAATACTGTCCTCGGTCCTGATGGCGGTAATTTGCAAATCTTAGACTGGAGTACCGTCTGTTGCGATAATGGCGAGAAATGTGCCAAACATGACTGCTAGAAAATCAGATAGGTTTATTCTCTTGCGTGGCCCTCGCATAATTTTGGCAGCGTGGTGGAAACGTAATGTTTGGATCTGCAGACTCTTGAAATTACTCAAAAAGCTTGATATCGCTAAAATAAAGCAATGTAGTTTTTTAAGCGGCTTTAGGTCCTTGACGTCACCGTGCGAAGTGCTGATAATAGGTTGCTTAGATGTACTGCAGGCAAGATGGTAGCGTGATTGATTAAGGGTTTTTTTTTTCACTTCGAATTGCACAAAATTACCCAGTACATAAAATCATTTCAGCGCCGTTCAACTTGTTCAGCACACCCAAAAAACCGAAGACATAATCTTTAGAGATGCAGGCTATTAAGATTGCAAGTTTCAAGTGCACCATGACCAATTCACGCCTTCTATTGGTGAGTCAAGTGGACTGTGTAACTGTACTTGATTGCTGACAACAAAACATACGTGACTGTAGTCCAAATTTAACTTTTCAATTTACGTCTGTGATTCTGCCCTATTATTTACCTTGCTGTTGAAAACCGTTTATCTACGTACTCGAAATTGTTATCTACGTACCCGAAACCATTATCTACGCACTAGAATTGCTGCTATACGCACTTCCTACGAATTTAACGCTTAGTGCACTTGCGGGCATGTTTTAAATTGGTCTAAACTCAGTTCACCTTTCACGGCATTCTCCTGCACAAGCTGTGACAAAGGCTCCTGTGCTTGCTTCATAATGTATTTGGACGATATTATTTTGAAAGACGACTAAATAGAACCTATAAGGTTTTCACAATGCGATAATAACTAAATAAGAAACGAACTGTGGCTTTTCGACTGTGCATTCTGTAGCGTGAAGTTCAGAATATATTATCGTTTTTTTTAATACAATTGCACTCGGAGGAGATGAAAAGAAAACGGCCATACAATGTTGTTGTTCACTTCTCCTGCTCTCTATAAATATACTAGCCCGACACTCGTGCTATTCCAGGTGTCTGTCTTCACCCGGTGCACTCAGGACCATGAAATTCAGACCACGATTTTTCCTATTTATATTTCTACATTTTCTTACGGTCACGGAATGCAAGCTGCCATCAGTAAAGACGATTTACGATATAAGGAAGGTAGTGTACATAACAATCTACATTTTTCCATTATATCATGACCAGCGGAGTGGTATCATCCCAGAAAGCTCAGCTCTACTGTGAAACGCACTGTGATACAGGAAGAACTAATTCATAAAATGTTGATTGGTCAGTAACCTGTGACTGGTGATTTATCCAACAAAATATATTATATATTTTAGGCACATTTCAAGTACCTCATTGTTCTCACTTGTGGATAATTGTCATCACTGCTTTTGTTTTGTGTTCAGTGCCGACGCAGACACTACAAAATAAGCAGTTATGCTGACTTTGTTTTGTGAGGCCATCTTGCATCCTTCAGAGTGGGGGAGGTTCGTTGCGATACTGACATCCTCCTGAGTTCGAATCCTACCAGGAGCTACGATCCGGTCTCTGCTTGCTCCCAGCCGCCCCTACAGCTCTGCAGTCATCGAACCAAGCAGCTAGCACTAAAGCTCCGGCACCGATGCAACCGGCTGCCTTTCCTTCGTACACTGTCACAAGCCTTTTGGGCGAAGCCCCTATGTTCGTGGGTCTTCGTGGCGACGACGTTAAGGACTGGCTCGACATCTACAACCACGTGAGTTAAGTCGATCAGTAGACCATGACCTAAAAAATGACTCAGGGAACCCTTTTACCTCACCGGTATCGTAAAAACCTAGTATTTTATTCTCAACCTGGACTTCATCGATTGTTCCGTTGACTTTGTCGAGCAGTGAACATCAATCTGCGACATCTGCGTAATTTTTTCCGGCCGTTTCAAGATGGCGAAAGAAAAGCTGGCTGTATGTGCTCAACTAGCACACGTGTGGTACGTTTTCTACCTTTAGGATGCCCTACGTCTCTTTGCCATCGTGTGAATAGTCAAATGGCGGAAGCCGAGCTTGTTCGCGTATTTTAAAAGGAATGTAAATGCTTGTATTCAGCACCATGGCTGTTCACAACCCTACCACTATTGAAGACATTACTTCGGCATTCCTGCGGCTAGACGAGCTGCGGCCCCTTCGTTTTCAGCAAGAGTGATTATCACTTAACTCCACCCTCAGGTTTACGAGCGTTCGTCTACACGATGATTCGCGAACAATTTCAACAGCAGGAACAGAACCGATCCTCTGCCGGCTCCACTCTAGTGCTACCTTTCGACCAGCACAACCTTGTCAAACAGGACCTGGTCGTCTTGACGTCATCAATGGTTCCTCTTGTCTCACCAGCATGTCCCTTGTCCACATATGCTGATATGACAGCCTTGGCAGCACCGACGGCAGCGGTTGCACACAGTGCTCACGCAATACCACCAGCTGCTGCCACATGTGAACCTTCTGACGTTTCCTGTAGCCATTTTGCTTTTGAGGAAGGCAGAGCATCTGTGGCGCCCTCGTATCCTGGATGGCATTCATCCTGTCCCGTCTCTTTTTACTGTGGTATACGGGTTCACATATCTCGTTATTGCCATCGCCGCCTACAAGATTAACGACGAGGCTGTGCTGACTTCGACTGAGTCCGCACCTGACGATCCGATTTTCATAGCCCAGAATTCTACCCGTACACGCATCACCGGTCACCGTGACCTGACGCGTCGCAGCGTCAGCATCAGGGCACTCGTTCCGCTAACGCTGGTCTCCTTCACCATACCGTCGTTTCGCATCACCGCTTCCCGCCACCTCCTGCCTTGTTGACCAACATCCGGAGAACTAAGGGTTGCAGTTTTTAGAACTAAAACTGTGTTCTGTCAACCTTGAAAATTGACTTCGGTTTGCCCAGGCATCATGCTGTCAGTGCATATTGAATGTATTCCTGCGCAAGCTACTATTTACACCAGTGCCGTCTTTTCGGTTTTCTGTATTGACTTGTGCTAGCGGCTCCGCAAAGTCAGAACACCTTATGTGGGACCGGTGTTGCGGGGCGCAAATACAGTAAGGATGCGTCCCGATGCATTGTGTACGGCTCGCGTTTCCATCAACAGCATTTGTCACCACATCCAGGTGATTGCGTTGTCGACGTTCGTTCATGAAACTATCCTTGGCCGGGACTTCTTACACCCCGCTTCCGCTACTGCATTGAAATCGAAATTTTCGAAATTGTAACTTCAGTTAGCAAATCGATAAAAAATACATACGCAGTAACAATAGTGGGTTAAAATTAGCGTATAGGCCACTTGACAAGTCCCACCTTCCCGTACAATGACAGTATACTACTAACAAGAGTTTCCACCTGTGTAAAAATCAACATACAAACACACAGAGGAAATTGATAAAAATCAGCAAGTAACTTACATTTTCGAGAAAAGCTAGGTGATAATATAACATAACTTCAAGTAATGCGCATTCATAAAGTTCACGTATGCTTTCATGAGGTGATGTTTTTATATTTCTTTGGTTTGGAGGAAAGATGATAGAAAAGTATTTGACGCCCATAGTTAGTGCGTGGTCGTTGAACTGCTTGAACTGCCGAATATTTGGTGTGTTGGTTTAAGCGAGATGATTTATTAGTTGACAACGTCAATGATCCTTGTGTACTGTTCGATAATCCTTAAAGGAGTTTTACCCTTAGTCGTTTCACGTTTAAAAAACCAATAGGCTTATACTCAAATAGGTAGTCAACACGGATAACTTTGAACCAAATAAACAGATCACGCGTATGTTAATTGTAGGATACATCACCAATAGCCCGTGATGCTTGCTTATGCAGTGTGAACAAATTATATAATGACATTTTTGTGCAGTTTCAGCAAACGAGGTGACAATGACACATATGCGAAACAAATAGTGCATTATGTATTATTTGTTTCTGTTGCAGTTTCTGGCATCTGCCCAGCATTTCTAGTATTTAAAAAGCTTAAATTTTAAGTGACCAGTATGGTAGTCCAAAGTCATAAGTTCATAAAACATAACGCCCGGGGCCTTAGCTGTATCGGAAAGTTTTACTTTCGTGTCAATTAGTGTAATAGACTTCGTCCGATTGCAAGGCCTGAATTTCACTCTAAAAAGCAGTGCCTTAGTCCTAAAGCAGTGAAGCTGAAGCAAACTTTGCACCAACCAAATCTTTAATTGCCATAGTACTTCATTTGGCGAGTGTACAAGCTCCTAATTCGTGGTTCCTGATATGAAGAATCTAGTATCAGCCACGTGAATATTTTAAGTTATTGAATCATCAACATTTTCAATGTCATTTATATATATAACAAATAAATTTGGACCCAGTATACTCCCGCAGGCACACCCTGCCTAAAAAGTTAAAACGAAAAGTGATGGCTAATAATTGATACACACTTATTTCTATCTGCTATGTAACTTCTGAAAAAATCTAATACTATTTAACGAAAACGTCGTTCGCACAACGATACGATGAATGCACCCATTCCCGTCTTGTTACTCTCGAGACTCAGCTTGGTCTTTGCTGAAGACTACGTCATGCGCCCAGGTCACGAAGATGTGTTAGCTGTCGCGTCTACCCATGTAACCGATGGTGATGCACTACTAGCGCCTTCTTTTCGCTGCACTTCACGTAGAATTCTCGTCGCCTCTTGTCTCCTCTGGCTTTCCTGTGGCCCCGCATTTCTGTCTGGTTGCACCACAGCTACAAAATCGATGCTGTTACACTAGAAAATCACGGTGGTGACGATCGACACCTCTTCATTGACCCCGATCACAGCACTCCTTTGTCACCAGTACAAGCTTTAAGTTTGAGTGAATAATAATGTTTACTGAAACTCCATCAACAGGTAATTATTTTTTTCTTTTTCGATATTCAATACTGAGTTTTTAGGTATTGCTATACTTTACTACTGCGTGAAAACATGTGCTACAACCACTCAATATCAGAAAACGGTTGCTTCACCGTCGCGATTTTTTGATGAGCAGGATGCCTAAATTTTGCACAACAGATATTAAAGCATGTAAGCAACTTCAAACTAGAGTCGAGGCCATGTGACCGAAACTGGTACAGCAATGGGTACTAACAGTTCTTTCTGAACATTTTTAGATTCCAATGCTTCTCGGACATTAAGTTCTTAAGTCCTAAGCATGTCGTAAGGAGTTCTATTCAACATAGCTAAAACAGCTTCCATTTCATGTGTTGATTTGTTTTCCTTTGCATTGGAACAAACATTGTTAACGGATTAGCACACAAGTTAAGGAACCCGTGAATTCTTCATATCTCGTTCTTCAAAAGTATACTTTTGACATCAATGATTGACAACAAAAGAAATTAAGAGGAGAGGTACTGAGGTGCCCTAAAGTGCCTCAAAATATCGTTCGAGATTGCACTTCAGGATTAATACAGTACGTTATTGTTCTTCACACTGCTTTACTGTTTGCATTGCTGAATGGTAAGTTATACCGGCGTTCACATAAGCAGTAGCCGGTGATATGTTTTACTTTGTGAACTACACTAAAAATTTTCCGATGCAATGTCTTAAGCTTTTCTAACCGATGCAATGTTAAGCATTTCATAACTAATCTACAGACATGTCACTGAAATGCGTATGCCTAATACTGTTTCAGTTCTTGTGGACAAAGGGGCCTATATGGACCTTCATGACAACAGGAAGCACACACTGCTTATGTCAAGAGGATGTGACTCAATATATTGACGAAACCAAAATTTTGTACACGCATTTCTACCTCAGTCCTGGACGCACAAGGTACTTCCACTTAAGATATGTTAAGTCTGGCTTGCTCAAGTCTGGATTGCTGATATTCATTTTCGTTTTTTCCAGGAAGCACACCCGAATGAGTGGATCGTTTCCTAAAAAAAACTGCATGATTGCGCAGCCTTACGGTAATAGAAAAATTATTACATAGCATCTGCTTTTCATCGTACCCGCAATATGTAATCATGCGTAATTCTATCGGCAGTTATATTATATAATATAGTTGTAAATCTATGTTTAAACACTTCGGTAGCTATGTACGGACTTTTGTGCATTGATTAATAACACTTTCATGACCACGAGAAATTTAGCTATTCATGGGTAGTCCAGGAAAGGGTAATTTTTGTGGTGTCTAAACCTTTTGATGTTAATATTTGTGATACAAACTTGTACATCAAGAAGTTGTTTTCAAACGAAGCCAGTTTCAAAGCAAAAATTTATTACCAATAGTACAAAAATTATTCAACAAAGAATTGTAACAAAAAGAAATTTTATAAAATTACTACCACTGCTTTAAATAGCCTAAGCATAAAAAGATCGGAAATATACTGATGCACAAGAAACACTATTGATTTGATTATCCTGTAAACATCAAGATAATGTATTTAAATAAATATATATATATATATATAATATATATATATATATATATATATATATATATATATATATATATATATATATTTCAAAGGCCTTTAGGCTTGAGCGCGAACGCTAACAGCTGAGTTTATTGTAGAACAAACGTGGTCACTAGTGGCTGGAATGTTCAATGCCACAGGTGTAAATGCCAACGTGCCTCGGCCAACGATCAGTTGATCGACGGCCAAATAAGCATTTTTATCTAGCACATACAGACTACGGCCTTCGTCAACGTCCCGAGCACGTGGCAATACATTGGACGATTTTACGGGTGCAGACACCGCTTTCATTTCCATTCATGACATCCCCCACTGAATATTCTCATTATCGTTTTCGTCTCTTTCGTTATCGTACACAATTCATTTACTATTTGTCTACATTCGAGGCTTTTGTGTAGTGCGGCAACGTTTACGTACACACCGATAACGAAGGCAAATGCTGTCCTGGTCAAAAAATTCCAATTTTTGGAAAGTCTGGCAACTACAACATTTTCAATCAAGCATTTTTTAAGTCCGATGCACTTTAGCGGGCCAAACTGTCCCATGTTTTCACCGTACCATGGGGCTTGGCGTAACACTGGCAACACCACGGATAGCCTAGCTACTTGTAGCATACCGAGCATGCACTCTCACCAAAGTGGGGTCTTCTTCATCTCTTTAATCGCGCACCATGATGATAATATCAAGTTTGTAGCACTTGAAGTGCCCAGGGTTTTGTATGCTGTCGTCGCTTGACGTAAGACAAACAAAACCACGCGTCAAAATAAAAAAATAAGGAATTAAGTGAGAACAGGAGCATGTCTGATAAAGCAAGACGAAGAACTGAAAGAAAAATACGTATCGATAGAAATGAAGAAAGAAGAAGAAAGTAAGTACTGCAAAAAACAAAAGAAAGAAGAAGAAAAGGAAGGATATAATATATATATATATATATATATATATATATATATATATATATATATATATATATATATATATATATATATATTAGGAGGGAGATAGAGAAGGCTGCGTAGCTCCTCTATTGCGAAGGTGCCTCCACATCTTTAGATTTAGAACTTGCTGTCGCCATATTTCTTTAACAGTTCACCTTTCAACTTATGACGTTGGTGAAGTGTTTCATCGACAACTATTTAAAGCAAGTATAACTTAACAATGCAAAAAGTAACTACGCTATAATAAGATAGTCAAACCTCCAGGAATTCCTCACAGCTTTAAAACCGATAATTCAGGTTCCGCTATCATACTTGGAGTACTTAAACCAAATCCCATCATATTGGTTGTAAATAGCACCACGCATTATTCAATGATAGTGAGTGAGTGAAACAACTTTATTGACGATCCGGCATAAAGGGGTAAGGGGTAGGGGGATTAAAGCGAGACACTAGCGTGCTCGGACGTCCCGGAGCAGCAACCTACTCGCGTCAAACCCGTGGGGGCGCCGCTTTCGGCCACTGGCATTCCAGGATGCTAAGCACGTGCTGGACCACGTCTCTTTGATTGCCTGGCTCTAGGCTGATGATTTTGCTGCTTATGGCAGTTGGCATTACGAGCACGCTAGTGTCTCGCTTTAATCCCCCTACCCCTTCCCCCTTTATGCCGGACAGCGTTTCAATGATGAGGTTTGCCTTTTCTTGGATGCGTTAAGGTAATGGGCGAAGAATAAATAAGGGTACGTTAAATAAATTGGGGAACAAGGCGAGTCGTAAACGTGTAGCGCAATGGACGCTAAGAGTTTAGAAAATTGACAGCACGAAAACTACTTTGGCCCTCCGAATAATCTTTTAAACGAGCATTTATTTTGCTTTTATTGTTTTTGAGTTGCACGAGATCGGATATATAAATGTAAGCTGCTAGCCTTAGTTGCTATAACATCACAGTTTTTTTTTCTTTTTTTTTTGCTGCAGCATTCATTTTTTTATCATAAGCAAAGTTGCAATTTTTAATACTGAAGATTTATTGAATCGTTAAAGTGGCGATTTGTAAGTTTAGACTACTTTCATTATGAAGTGTCATTTGCAGCAAGTAATTTTGCAATGTGGTTGAAAACTTAGCTTATTGGATCGTTCATTGGTTTTCATTTTCCTAGAATAGCCATGTTTTCGTGAGATGACTCAATCGTCAAAGTGCGCAAGCAGATTTAATGAAACCTTGAAAAGTTGAGTTTTTCTAAGCCAAATGACAGCGTTTTTAACTTACGTCTTTGTTCTTTTTTTAGGTTCTTCGAGCCAAGTAACACACAAAGTTATATATTACAATCACATTTTTAAGTGTGCTGTGGTGAAAGTCTCCTCAATGATTTCTCCTGGAGGTTGGTGCGTTGTAAATGTTCCTCTTTTCTTAACCGGTTCAACACTCTTTGTGAATACTCTTCTTAATCGTGATTCAGAGCTTACTTGCTCATTTTGTAGTTTTATATTTTCTCTCAAATGGTATGCAAAGATTGTACATTTTCTTTCTACAAACTGTGTCATGAATTGGTGATCATGAGAATGGTGATCAATTTGTGATGCACCTAATGGAACAGAAAACTGTGACATAGTTCTCAAATACAACGCAGAATTTCAGCAGAATTTCAGCAGAATTTGCTGAAATTCAGCAGAATTTGCTAGGCTTCTTGTATATTTTGAGGTTAAGATTCTTCAGAGCTGTATATTACATACAGTGATTTCGAAGAACGTCTAGTGCAAAGTAGGTACACTGAAAAAAATTGCTTAGAGATAATGTAATGCTGACTTTACTGCTATAATTTCAAATATTACAAAAACAGGAGAATTGTTTCCCTGCGTGCCTCCGAACTATTTCACAGTAATTTGTCTACTGCGACTAATTTAAACATTTTTTGTGAGGAATGGTACTTCAGCACACGAGAGAAGCTGAGAGAAAAAGAGAAGTTTTAACAGAGTGCTGTAGATGGGAGCCTGACTTTGTGCCTTACATGCTGCTCGAGACTCTGCCTACAGGGAAAGTGTTTGTGACTAGGCGCCAAGCAAACTTTTTGCGCCCCATGTAGGTCAAGTCTACTAGAGAATGCGTGACAAAGCAATCGGAAAAACCGTACTACTCCCAACTAGTCTGCTAACGATGAAGAAAACGGTCGTGGGCTAACATGCATGTGCCTCAGACATTGGTCGATTCTCACTGCTTTCTACTAGGCCACTAAAATTTGACAAAGGACCACAGAAGCGGCAAACATGAATTAGGACTTCTCAACAAAATTTACAACAAGTCAGCAACTTTTTTGAACCTTCACGATCAACACAGTCGATAGAATGGAGAACATAGGGGGGGGGGGGGCATGCCGTAGATTTTTTTCTTAAGGCTATCAGCTGGGCAAGTTTTTATGGACTGAGGGCAAGAGAAGGTGCCAAAACAATTGGTAGTCAATCAAGGTCTTCAGGCACTTGTCTCGAGATCGTCAGTCATCCACAGTGTTCTCGTGCTGCCCTGACTGCTGGCGCTAGGACTGCTGAGTAATGAACGTCTTTACACCCATTCTGGTAATATACGCTGCACTAACCTAACTGCTCGAAGGCATCCTATCAAAACAACTTGAGTGTAGTTAGTAAAATATTGAATGGGAAGCAGTTTTGGCGTACTCAAGGCAGTTTGAGCATTTCTATCACCTCCATGACTTAGGTTTGGTAAAAATTAGCATGAGAGGGTAAGAGAGCTTTAGTAATATGACTCTCTGGTAAGGACATTAAAAATAGAAAAGTCTCGATTGTTATAGCGTAAGCACAGAACGACGACAAAGAGAAAAGAAGAAGACGAGCGCTTCTTCTTGTCCTTTTGTCGTAATTCTGTTCTCGCGCTACAACAATCGTCACGTCATACCAAATAGACCAAATCGCCACGCTTCTAAATGAAAATGTCGTTACAATTGCGTCATGTCATTCCCTCCGGACACATACGATATATAACCGTATGCCATGGGCCGCGATATGTGAATACGTCCTGCAGGTGTTTGACAGTTTATATATACCAAGCAACGACGAGAACACACACCGTTAATTCAAATGCAAGAGCGTTGAGAAAAAAAGACATCGGACACGGTGAGCTGACGAATGCAAAAAAAAATAAATGTTATGGTCGCAGCCAGCCACGCACCTGGTCATAAATTATAAAATGACAAATCATCCTCGACCAAATCTGCTTGCCCAAGCACTACTTCAAAATGAAGTGCACCCCCCCCCCTTAAAGATATCACAGCATATCCACGGAATGAATGATCAAGAGTGGGGCGAAGCAGTCGTCCGTCCGTCCGTGTTTCTGCCTGTTCCGTGAGGATACAATTATTTTTATTTAGCAGTGCTGTGCTCAAACAGCCATCGATCGCAATGCGCTAAAATTCCATGCGCAAGTGACAATGTTCAGAGCTTGACCCATGAACGTGCGAAGGCCCCCGCTGCCCCCTGATGCTTCCATCACTTCGCGAAACTCAGCTGCGCGATATTCGCCCGTCGCCATCATTATCTTTCGGTGGCACCTGATGCAGCAGCTCCTGCAGTTGGTGCCACAACTTTCGTATCAGAAGGCAGTGGAGATACACCATTGGTGCAAATAGAAGCTGCACTACGCTGCACAAGCTAGCACAACGCGAAACACGGAGCACATAACTTACATCCCTACAACTCGAAAGACAGAGCAGGTAACAGCGTCGTCACAGAGTCAAATCGGTACGCAGGGCGTGTCGAAATAACAGCATCCGTTTGTGGGCTCCGAAATTAGCTACAAAAATTTTTGTCGGGGCTTATTGTGGAGATAACGCTACAGTGTGCTGGCAGGGCGCTCTCTAGCCAGCGTCTTTTCGAATGCTGACATCATGGCTGGAATCAAGGCACCGTAGTGTTGAGACTACTGCATCGTTCTCTGTCGGTGTTAGTGCAATCAGCGCCTCCTCCATTTTTAACTCTCACCTTAAACTCTCACCATGTCTGTCTTCGTCGTAAGTCGCCGGCGAGCCGAAACACGGGTGTTGTGCACATCGCATACAAACCATTCATAGCGCACATGAGGCTTAAAATGAACCGTACAAAGGCGCCCAGCCGCAAGCCATTCAAAAACAAGTGCATCAAATAATGTCATGATGTCGTGCGCAAAATGATTTATTGAGCGCGCGGTGCGTACATACTTTTTCAAAATAGAGCATGCGCCGGTGCGAACTTGCTCGCAAGTTCTTCAACGCACTATAACATAATTTCAATCCGATCATGCACGCACTTACTAAAATAAATTATAACAGTGTGGCTTCCATTTGAGAAACCTCACTCGCTTGACCCCGTGACAACCCAATACCGCTAGAAACTGCTAATAAAGGCGCACACATCATAGCCCTCAACACAGTCCTGCAGGAGCGCTAATGTAGGGTGCCTGCAGCAGCCCATCGACAACGTCATGACTCTGACTACGAGCTCGGACGTTGAAAAGCGGCGGCCAAACGACAACGCCGCGAAGCTAACCCAGAGCTAAGAGTGCGGTAAGCTGCGACTCGCCAACCACGCCAACAGGACCCGACTTCTAAAGATCGAGAAGCCGTGGCTCGGTGAAAACAACGCTATTCTAATGGCATTCTTCTAGATCTTCATAGGTCCTAATGGTACCTTTCCAGGTCGACATATTCGACTACGAGTGGTTAGTCAAACACATGTTCGACACTTGCTGGCTCTGATGCATGTGCAGCAGACAACCAACCTACGTCCAAAGGCAAGTGCACTCAGCTAAAGTATGCAAACTTTCATGCCGACATGATCAAAACACGATTGTTCTTCGCAAGCTAAACGCAGACCCCAAATTTGGGTATATAAATAAACAGTGCAAAACTGATTTACATTTAACAGTCATTCAATAAACATTCCATAATCGTCTGAAGAGGTTTGATTCATCTTCAGCATTCACTTACTGAATCTGTTTTAACTTCTCAAGGCCAGCCAGATGCGCCTACTCCAGCCGTTCACTTTTACAGCTCTTTCATGCTCTCCCCTTACGCGTAGCCGACGCGTGTGCTTTGTGGTCATAGGGGGGAGACCCCTTCGTGTGAATCCTTACGACGGAAACCATAGGAGGTCATTTGTGCAGCGAATGCTCTGTATGGCTAAGAGGAACGAAGAACTGTTCGGCATTGGTGTCAGGAGCGCTCTTCACAGGCTGTGCCCTTTGTTACATCGTTCACAGCGTCACACCCAAGTACGCACACCATTGACTGCGTTGTGCGAATTTATTCTTACACCGTGGTTGGGAGTAACATCGTCCATCCCGTCACAGCCTTAGTGCCCAACACTCTCGCATGATTTTCTACTGGGAGCTTCCATATGAGTAAACTACCAAGAAGTCTAGAAGAACGCCGAAAGTGAAAACTTGAGTGAGCTCGTATTCGCCGGGCCGATGCTGAAGCACGGGCACAAAAACAGGCTCGTGAGGCCGAATGTTGGCAGCAACTGCGAACCGTTGATCCGGCAGCCTTCCAAGCCGTGCTAAATCATGAAATAGAATGCAAGTTCCGTTGCGGGTTTCACAGCGTCAACGTAATGAATACAGGAGCGCATTCTCTGGAGCGAACGCCTGCACTCGGCGGGACTACAGCGGCACTTTGCCTTCGGTTGCGTTGTCGCAACCGCCTGTGGGTCGAGAACAGACACTGTGAATAACGCATTGGGAAATCCATTTAGCTGCTCACTACACCCCTCCCTGTCCGTGATCATGCGAGGTACAACGCATGACATGTGAAATAAACACTGTGGTAAACCCAAGGCAAACCTGTGTCTAACCTCATTCAGAAGCACGAAGAAGCAACTAATAATTGTGAAAGTCTTTAGTGCAGCGTCGGGTTGAACCCACTGAAAAAACAGGGGTTTCAAGTTTGATCTTTCGCTTGTTAACCATTTTAGGGAATGCTTGGGCGGTGATTATTTCTAATTTTGTTCACTTGAATACAGATCTGAAGAGAGTCTTGAATTCCTCGTGTTCACAACGTTGGCGGTCACGCTGCCTCTGTAAGAGAAACGGTGTTTCAAATAGCGCGTCACCGTTCATGGCGCTATGCAGGCGACCGTTGGCGAAGCCCGATTGCAAAGCGTCACTTTTAACAACACTGTGAGGTGGCAGCAGAATTACTTCGAGCCACAAACAATGATCACGAAGGAACAAATCACGCAGACATATGATATTGGCGAGGCAAACACGTCTTTCGTGTCTCTGTAGCAAAGCACTCGGACGCACGTATGACGCAGGCAGTCTTACCCTTTATGTTGTGTCAAAATAGGACCATTCCCTGAACAAAGGTGGACCGACGGCTTCCGTTGAGAAACGCGCATTTGCACTGACATTGAAAAAAAAACGAAGGCGTTGTTGTCATAATGCAGTGCTTTTCTTCTCCCCTAGAAACGAGAAACGCCGGTACAGATCAAATGAGTGTGACATGTATAAGGCACGTTTAAAGCAAATGCAGGAAGAGTGGCGATCGTACAGTCGGTTCAATTCCCGCTTTCCATCGCCATGGACCAAGGCGTCATGGATTCATTCACGAGACTTGATATTTTGCGTAGCTTTTTTTCTGCTTTCTTACTTTGTATTGGGTTCATGTGCCTTTTATCCACGTCATTTTCATGACAGAAATATGTTAGTGAAGTTTTCGTGCACCCCGGCATAAATACCTTTTTATTGTTTAACGTGACTGGAACACTGCCCTGGTAAAACACAGCATCACTGTCCACAAGCAGCCACAGTTTGTCGCTCAGCTCGGTTCTTTGCAGTAATCGGAAAACCAACCTGAGAGCGGTTCCTGTTGCAGACGAGGTGGGCCAGGGCCTCAGGAGTTTGTTCTTTTTTAAGCAGGGCTTGTCCATCTGCCTAATCACGTAGTTCGGTTATGTCTCTTTCATGTGCAAGCAGGATGGTACAGGAGCACGCGCTCCGGGTCACCCTCAATATCGCCCTCTTAATTGTACATCCTCACTTGCCGAAACGAAGCGATCAAGCCAGGGAGAGACGGAGTAGTGACTCGTTCTTCTATTGCATCGAGATCATGAAGACCCCTTTTTTATCTAGTGGAGTATCATTGTCTGTGGAAAGCAGTATTGAGTGTGTCAGCAAGTAACAGCAATGACGTTCCTCTAACAATATTGTAGGGCAAAAAGCCTCCCCGAATAAGCCTTTTGGTTAATCGTTGCGTTTGACCTGCGGGCTGCTGCCAGTGTTTATAAACCACGTTTTGCAATTTAAATCTTAGGTTTTTTCTATGTGATCTTTACGATCTTAATTTGGCGACAAACGGTTCACTGAACGCATTGTTGTCCGCTCCTGTGTCATCTAGAGTGTTGACGTTGAGGCCACCGATATGCAGGTTGATGTGGGTGGTTCAACATGCTTCACGATGGTTAGGTTACTTATGCCTTCGGAACGGGTTGCATCTATTCGCTTCAATGCTGCCACGTCATGCCGTTGGCAGGTCTTGCTACGGTGAAGTCCTCTCAAGTGTGCCACTCTGGGAGACATGATGATGATATTTATGGAAAAGGACGAAGCTGTTTCTCATACATGAGCGTATGTTATCGGCCAAATAAATACAAAATAACAGGTGACCAAACAAAAACAGCGTTTTTGTCAATTACACACTTGGTGCATTTAAACAGTTAAAAGAACATTTTCTAATTTGATCAGCCTCTATTATTTCAAAGTTTTGGTTTTTCACCCACTTGACAAATGTCACACGATGAATATGTGGTGTGCATTGACACTTGTTGCACCTGTCTGCAAGATTTCTGTTTGATTTCTTACTTGCAGAAACAAAATGCTGAATATGAGAGCACGTGAGAATTTTCTTTAATCTTAAGAACAAATCAGGCCAACATGTTGGAAATTGTAATCTTATTGCTTTCCTGCGCACGTGTGACCAAGAAATAGTGAGTGACCAGCCGGTACTGCTTACGAATTTAGTTTCTGAGAAAACTGTATTCTACTCAACAAGATTCTGGAGGAACAACGGAACGAATGACAGAAATGCGACACGCAAGAAATGAAACCCGACGTATACAAAAGGGCAGGCACTTGCGCCCACTACAGGCAAATTACTACAAAGCTTTAACATTTGTGACCAATATGTACCGAACGCAACACCGTGAGATATGCCTACGCTATTAGGCCCGTCATATGGAACCTGCATAAGTTACACGTGTACAGTTAGCTTGCCCGAAATTCACGAAACTGTTTTCTAGAGAAATTCATTTCAAAACAATGAAATATACGTAAATTGCAAGGGTATGCACATGTGCTATGGGGAGACAAAAATTTAGGTGGCAACAGATTAAAGAGTTTGTGTGCAAAGGTGACCGCATGAAGCGCAGGACCCGCTTTATTGGCGGAACAAGGAAAAGGCGTTTGCCCTTCAGTGGGCGCAGTCAGAGTGCCGAAAGGCGTTGGTGATGACAAACAGATAGCTGCGTGAGGAAACAATAGCATCTATCCCCCAAACTGGAATGTTACACTGAGTTTTCCTTACTCAACTTTTTAGGATTCCACAAAGCGTCCACCAACCGGCGTGTTACCGGCTCTCTTTGCACTAGAATATAGTGTAAACTGGTGCGGGAGGCAGAACAATTCAGGCATTACAGAAACTGTGAAAAATTAACAGGGACGTTCACTCAAAATTGATTACAATGTCAAGTATGTCGCATTTATTCTCTTTGCCAGACATCCATAACCGTCATCTCGCTTCCTTGCATTTCCTATCTTGAAAGGTTCACTCTAGGTATTTTAATATTAGATGTACTGTGTTGCTTTGATGCCCACTCCCCGTTCGTAGAATAACAAAGTGCATGACGATGTAGTAAAGATATCAAGAGAAACTGGCTAAGATTATTAGGTGAATGACACAAGTGTCGCTAATACGTTCTTTTTGAAGGTATTCAGTAGGTAATCACAATATACAGTCTTCATTGCTGTCTTCCTTTTTTCATTCACAGGAAACATGAATATTCTTGATCTGCGCGTTTGGAACTCATCCGACATAAAAACCTCGGTCGAACGTTGCCTCCCTGTGTTCAGGAAGAAAACGACGAGAGGCCACATCGTTTACAAAGACTTTTGTCAGCGACAGCTTGATGAAACGCGGCCGTCGCAAGACCAGGATCTACAGGGAAGAGGAGACCCACAAGACTTCGTTTGCCGCTATTATGGATAATCTCTGAAGGGCAAAATCGCAAGCACACAAGACACTCCACGAGGCCATGAGGAGACATGCATGCAAATACAACACGTTGGACTCACCCTTAAGGTTATCTTTACTGCATCGAGTAATCGTAACTCGCGTAGCAAAAGGATAACGTAGCAGGACTAATTAAAAAACAAATAAAAACATCCAATGAGACTCACCCACTGACGTCTTTGTTTTAAAAGAGTCCTGGAACACTTCAGCGTAGCAATAGTGTGGTGTCACTAATGCAGCTTACTTCGAGTGAAAACTTTAGCGCGAACAAGATGAACAACAAAGAATAAAAGATACGAGCAGTGGAGCTTAAAGCCTTTTGAAATACGATTCCACCATCCTTCAAAGAGTTGGGCATCGAGGTGAAGAAAAGACCGGTATTTTTTTTACAGCCAACTAACGCCATGTACGCACCAGGCTCCACCGGAAGGTTTAAAGGAACTTTTTGCCTAACGAAGTGACATCCACGTTTATTTTATTTGCGAAGCATTTCTTAGCGGACTTCGACGTCTTTGAGCATATCTATCTATCTATCTATCTATCTATCTATCTATCTGTCTGTCTGTCTGTCTATCTATCTATCTATGTATCTATCTATCTATCTATCGATCTGTCTCTATATATATCTATCTGTCAGTCTGTCTATCTATCTATCTATCTATCTATCTGTCTGTATATCTATCTATCTATCTGTCTAACTATCTATCTGTCAGGGCATATTTGTGTAATTACGGTGACTCAAATACTCGTTTCTGAAATTGATGAGGACATTTGTATGAGGATGAAAAGATGTTTATGACGCAAGAGAAGACGTAGGAGTTGCGCGGTAATGAAGCGATGCAAAAAGACTACAATGACGAGCACTGTTCTAAAGTCAGATAACGCCGTTCCATACTACATTAAACAAAGCTGGCGAGGTTTCACCATATGCGGGTCGAAGGCTGCTTGGTAGACGAATCGCTCCATTGAGTCTCACGCCGACAGCAGTGACAAGCCATGCGTGGTTGAAATTTAGAAGAATCGATGTCAGTGGGAGAACTCGTCTCAGGGCCAATGGTAGGCCCAGGTCATGAAGGCACCTGGCTCCCAACACAAGGGACCGGCACCGGCTACTGGGACACCAGTCGAAGTGAACTAACTACCCAAGGACCGACTGCAGGCAGAGGTCTGTTTCGAGACCAGGACCCGATGAGCGCCTCGGCCTACGACTGCCTTCCCGTCACGTTCACCAACCCCCGTCTTCTTTCTTCACTTCTCTCTCTGCCTGTTCGGCTTGGCCTCCGATCACGATTTCGGCTCCCAGCCTGTGTTGACGTCGTCTTCATTGACGCACCACAGAGCACAAATCCGCAACAACCGCCCGCCACACGAAAGTACCACGCACAACATGACAAAAGCCCTCCCTCCTCCTTTTCGAAAGGATATTTTTCAAAAAAAATCTGCCTAAAGTGCGCGGGAGACAAGAGTTACGACAAAAGGTGTCTGCGAATGATTGACCTACATGACACTATATCTGCCCGCAAGCTCTAAGAAGTCCACACTGCCTGCCATATTGTTAGCGCTTCCATCTGCAACCTGAACACATACGCAACATTACCGTTCTCTTAACTTATATCATACGCGTGACAGATGCGAACGCTGTGCTCGTTGTGCTAGTGTCTCACTTTTACATCCTGAGTGACAATAAATGAGCAAAGGGAGTGTCGGGTTGTCCTTCCGGGACGACACCGACTGAAGTAGCCCGACACCCGACCCGGTCACCAAGTGGGAGTTTCTACGAAAGATTCGAGCACAGTACTTCTGTACATTTAGGAATCGAGAAAAAGTTCCTCGTGCTAACCTCAAAGTCTGTTCAAGACGTGCCAAGCACACATGCCGACGTGGTCTTTACGTCTTCCAGGTTTTCCTCTTGTTTTAAAGACGATAGTCTTTCCTGGGGACCTTCGACACAAAACGTTTGGTCTGTCTGTCTGTCTGTCTGTCTGTCTGTCTGTCTGTCTGTCTGTCTGTCTGTCTGTCTGTCTGTCTGTCTGTACAATTGTCTGTTTGTCCCCTCTTACCGGCATCGGGTACTTGAAACGGCTGACCCCATCCGCAGCGACCACCAATGTTGCTCTAGGTTGAGCGTTCATGCTTGTGTAATTGTCAATTAAAAAGCAACTAAGCGCATGTCTGTGGCACCATAACAACACGCATATATTCTGCATATGCATCCATTACTAAAAAACGCATACATAAGTAATTTTAAGAACCGTAGCACTTATCACGCTGCGCTTAACATGCAACGCTTGCACGGAACGGGGAGTGTTTCCAACGCTTTAAAAGACGAGATGGTGATGGCACCTACCCGTCGCCTCACGTTCTACTGCTTATCACCTCTGAGGCGGGCGCGCACGGCCACGTGCTTTGTTTTCCGAAAGAAACTGCCAGATGGCGCTCATGTCTCGCGTGTGAGGTGACTTGATTCCCTCGTTCGCCTACGCTGCACGCTCGAGGCACACTAACGCAGCGCCTCCCGAATACCATTCAATTTTTTTGCGCAGAACATCAAATAAATGTTTTGTTCGCTCTCTCCACACGCGACATTTGCAGAGATCATGCAGATACGGGGCCAATTTTTGGCTGAAATACTCCTGAGTATTTTCAATGTTTGCCAACTTCGTTGTCCTCAGCTTCGCACAAAATCCTCTGCCTGACACACCGACTGTCGGTGCGTTAGTCGTGCCGCCTTCTCCCTTGGCGCTCTTCTCAGACTTCACTAACGTATCAATCGCGGACTTCTTGATCGCGGACTTGTTCCAGGTTTAATCAGGGTCCTTAGCGTTACGGGCACTTGGTACAATTCCAACGACACCATCGTATAGAGGTGGTGTCATGCGTTTTATTATCACATTTCCAGAGAAATAGGCTGATAAAATCCGTACTTCGTCTTCCGGTACCTGAATTCCACTACCATAGGCCAATAAAATAGCGGTGGTGGTACCACTCAGCGAATACTTTGGAACAAGGTAACGGCGCACAACCAACATGTTGCTTCCAGTGTACAGCTAGACGTAAACAGTGTGGTCAAACACCTCTCCCTGTAATACCAGCGAATTTCGGGCGAATGTGGTGGAGCGTGTTCTAAGCACAATGGCAACGTATTCATGACCTCCATCTGGGGTTAAGTCATCTGCATAATTGGGTGGGTCCGACTTCTGGTCTGTTAAAACAATGCAAGATGTCACCTCTTTTGACCCACCAGTGTTTGGGCATGCTTTTGAATCATGACCTTACTTCCAACAATAACCACAGAAGACTCACTTGGGTTTCATGCTGCAATCAGAACCTCTGTGGCCACGTCAATCACAGAGGAAACACTGAAGTTGCGGCTGGGTAGAACGACCCCCCGTGCTCTTTGGGAGTATTATTTCATGACAAGAAACGAAATAGCAACAAGTTTCTTTGCCGTTGGCCCTCCATAAACGTATATACCTCTTCTGCCATTTCATGGACTGTTTTGCGTTCCTTCTTCCTCAGGAACAGAGCCAAGCGGTCGTGACAGTTATACAGAAACTGCTCTGCTATGATGAGGTTGCGCACGAATGTAAAGTCTTTGTCCGTTTTTGACATTTACATCAATATATCGAAGACGCTCTGTAATCGGGTGGCGTACTGCTTACCAGTTTCGCCATCTTCCGGCTTGCTTTGTGGAAACCTTTCGCGATGGCCTTCGGCTGTGAAACGAAATCTCTGGAGCATGACCATTTTCGTGCTCTGGTAATCCATAACCACTTCTGGTGATAGACGACTGAAGACCTTCAAGGCTTCCTCACTTAAATATAGGCTTAGTGCTGAACCCCACTTATCCTCCGGCCACTCTTGACTCACAGCTACGTGTTCAAACCTATTGAGGTATGCATTCAGATCGTCTCGCCTCTCGTCTAACACCAGAATCAGATTGTGTGGACACGTCCAGCACGGGCGGCTTCGACTCCTCTCAGGTTCTCAGTCACGCGTCACTGGTGCTCGACTACTTTCAACCTAGGCTGACCGAGTTCGCAACTGAACAGCTCTCTCTTCTATCTCTAGGCGTTCTTTCGCTGCCTGCCTTTCAGCGGCATGTTCTTCACGTGCCTGCATCTATTCCTCAAGAGCGCGCTCTAATTGTGCATCTATCCACGTCTTTAACTCGACTCCTTCAAGGCCCATGCGTTCAGCTAACGTTATCAGCTCTTGCTCAATCATCTCACCGCAAATATTTCAGCTCAGTGCAAACCACTTTGTCGATTCTGCTGCACTGGACGCCATTCGTGAGGGCAGGCTTGTGTAATTATGGCGACTCAAATACTCCTTGCCGTGATTGATGAGGACATTTGCACAAAGACGAAAACATGTTTATGACGCAAGAGAAGACGTAGGTGTTAGCGGTAATGAAGTGATGCTAAAAGACTACAATGACGAGCACTGGTTAAAGTCAGTTAACGCCGTTCTTGACTACACTAAACAAGGCGGGCAAGGTTTCATCATATGCGGATCCAAAGCTGCTTGGTCGACCAGTCGCTCTGTTGAGTCTCACGCCGACAGCAGTGACAGGCAAGGCGTGGTTGAAATCCGGCAAAATCAATGTCGGAAAGAGAACGCATCTCAGGGCCAATGGTAGGCCTAAGTCTTGAATGCTTCTGGTTCCCAACACAAGGGACCAGCGCTGGCAACCGGAACATTAGTCGAGGTGAACGACTCAGGTACCGACTGCCGGTAGCGGTGTGCTTCGAGACTAGGACCCGACGAGTGCCTTGGCCGGCGACTGCCTGCTCGTCACGTTCTCCAACCCCGTCTTCTTTCTTCACTTCTCTCTCTGTCCGTCTGGCTTGGCCTCTGATTACGATTTTGTCTCCCAGCCTGTCTTGTCGTCGTCTTTCCTGGCGCACCACAGCGTACAAAACCACAACCACCGAACACAACATCACACTATCTATCTATCTATCTATCTATCTATCTATCTATCTATCTATCTATCTATCTGTCTGTCTATCTATCTATCTATCTATCTAGCCACCTACGACAATTAGCTCTGCTGTCCGCCTCGATAATGGTATCTATACCAAACTTGGTATAGCACAACATGACAGTATGACGAGCATAACTGACCAGTCATAACATGAAAATGATGATATAT